TTATAAATTCATTTTAACTCATTAAATAATAAATAATAATTATTTTATCAATTATTATTATTTTTAATAATTAAATTAATAACTTTAATGATAATGATAATCATAGCAAGGAGTATTTTATAAAAATATTTGATTTTTCAATTATTATATACTAAATGATAAAATCTAGATCGTTAAAAAAGGGGAAGGTTCACCTTATAATTAAAATTGAAGGCCACTCATTGGATAACTTACGTTTGACTGCAAAATATTTTTTTTAATTTTATAAAGCAAAAGATTGCTTTATGCAAAGAAGGATACGATACTCACATAAAGCGTGAGTACCTATGCGAAATGTCAAAAGTATCTATTGCCGACTTGCCATTTATGGTTTAGTCTTGCCGTCCCAAGATGATACCGCGTCTTCGGCTACAAAAGTGGAGATTGTCAAATAATTTGCTAAACTACTACCATATCCAATGTTGCTTTAGTGGTAAAAAAAATAGTTCCTTCTATTACATCAAGAAATTTTGACAGGTTTCCTAGAGCACAGACAAAGATTAGGAAAAGCAAAATGAGAGTGGGAATCTTGATTTTTGAATAGATTTTAAACTGTTCAGCAATAATTGTTATCTTGTTTGATCTTTAGGTAGCCAATTTAACGGCTAAGATTATCTAAGAGTGACAACGAAGAAAAGACATTTCTCTTGGGGCAAAAGCGATACCTTTGCGTGTGAGTTTTCCTACTCCAAATTTCATGCCCCAACTTTTCTTTTACTCTCATGACTTTTCTTCGTGCCTCTTGACTTTTTCTTCATGCCTTATGTATGACTATTTTGTTTGATGAGAAAAATAAATGACCTTTTTTTTCTTTTCATTTTAGTTAGGATTATATATGTTAGAATATCAACATTTATTTCAGGATATTATGTTTATATTATAATTAATTATATATATTTAAATTAATTATTTTATACTTAAAAATATTTTATTATATATATCTATATATAAAATCTTTGTATGAAAACAAGAAAATAACAAACTTTTTTTCAAATATTTTTCATTCTTTTTATCTCTAACGTGACATTAGAGTTATAAGCTCTTGGTTCTTCTCTTTTATTATCACTGTTTGGTTTTAGGTTGGATTTTCAAATCCATTTTGAATCTAAAACTCTGTCATTGAGATCTCTTTCCCTGCAAATTAGATTATTTATTTTCAGTTCTCAGGTCTTTTCTAAAGTATTTGTTAACTTGTTTTTTCAATTTTAGCATCTATTTCTTCATATTTTTAGATATTTTTTTTTCAGTATTGTGAGATTTACTATTTCTAGAATGAGTTGTAAAAGGACTATAACTCATTTTGCTATTGATATAATTGCCAAAGAAGTAATAGACCAATCTAATATCAACCTTAAATCTCTAAAATAGGTGATATTAAATCTTTTTAATGCTCTTACTATCTTATCTACTGTTCCAGGTACCAAACCTTGGAATTTTGATTTTAATTGTTGTAACCATATATCTTCAATTACTGCTCATTTCTCTTCAATGTCACCAAATAACACCTTTCTTGATATTTATTCTACTGATGGTTTCCTTATGAATGTTAATCGCATTGACAATATTTCTACAAAGTCATTAACTTTGCCAAATGCTCTCTTGGTTCCAAAATTTAGTTATAATCTTCTATTTGTTGGTCAATTATGTGATCTTGACCTTAAAGTAACATTTTTCACTCATGGTTGTCATGTGCAAGGCCCATAGACAAGACAACTTATTGGAACTACTCACAAGGTGGGGCATATGTTTAAGTCCAATTATCTGCAGATTCTATCTTATAAAATAGATACACCATCATTTCCAAATGATCACTTCATCCCAACGTTGCTTTGTGCTGTTAAGTTAAAGTATTTACAAAATCCATACCAACAAATTTTGTAAGCCTATGTTGTTACTAACATTTCTCCTCTCTGTTTGTGGCATTCATGCTTCAAACATACCTCAATCGGTAAACTTTGTCCTTTTATCTCTTGTGGTTTACTATGAAATCTTTCAAATGAATCCTTGCATTGTGTGTCATGTCAATCTACAAAATAATCATCTTTAACATTTTCAAGTAGTCATTCTCTTTTTGCTACTCCTTTTCATCTCGTCCATTCTAATGTTTGAGGTCCATTTCTTACACCCACCATGAGGGAGTTCCAAGTACTTTGTATTATTTATTGATGATCATACTCTTTTTACCTAGATATATCTTATGAAAAATCACTATGAATTACCACAACTTTATATTGATTTTGCTACTATGGTCAAAACCCAATTATCTAAAATTGTCAAAGTTTTGAGAACTAACAATGCTATTGAATATCTTAGTATTAAACTTCAGTTCTTTCTTAGAGAATAGGGTGCACTAACACAATAATCTTGTCCATACACTAGTGAATAGAATGGGCGAGCCGAATGTAAAATAGACATATCCTTGATTCTGTTTGTGCTTCACTCATTTTGTGTTCTTGTCTAGAGTGATTTTGGGGTAAAACTGCTCTTATAATTGTTTATCTCATTAATCATATTTCATCATTAGTCCTCAATAACCAATCTCCATATGAGCATTTGCATGGTATTCTTTTTACCTATGATCTTCTTAAAGTTTTTGGTTGTGCATGTTTTGTTCTTCTTCCACTTCATGAACATAACAAGTTAGAGCCTAGAGCTAGATTATGTTGTTTCTTGGGTTATGAGATTACACAAAAAGGACATCATTGTTGGGATCTTGTGTCACAAAAACTCCAAGTTTCATGTCATGTTGTCTTTTAGGAAAACACTATGTTCTTATCGTTGTCCAACTTCAAAGTGTCATCCTTTTATCAACCTTTATTTTTTACTAATCCTACTGTTAAGTTATTTCCTAATGATTCTGAGGAGGTATATCTGATGAGCTCTACAACACCTCACCATATGCTCCAACTAGTTCTACAAAAGATGTTCTACCTGCCAGTAATGCATTAGATAATTTTGAGCCTTCCTCCACTTCCTTATTTATATCACTTATTGATGTTGCATCTGATATTGTTGAGTCTGCAAATGAGCTTGTTATCCCACCCTTGAGTCATCCTACTCAAGTAAGAAACCTTTCAACTACCTTCATGATTATCATTGTTTTCTTGTTATCACTTCTTTACATGAGCCTCAATCTTATCGAGAGACCTCTTCTAACCTTTTTGGCAACAAGCTATGCAAGATAAATTACAGGCTCTTGAGAACACTCATACATGAGATTTAGTTGATCTCCTTATTGAAAAGTCCTTGATAGGTTGTAAATGGGTGTACAAGATCACAACACGATTTGATGGTTTTGTGAAGCATTATAAGGCACGCTTGGTTGCCAAGGGTTTTACACATGAGTATGGAATAGATTATGAGGAAACATTTGCTCTAGTTGCTCGTCTCACAACTATGCATAGTTTGCTTGCTATCATTGCTATATGGAAATGGAAATTATTTCAAATGGATGTGAAAAATGCTTTTCTTAATGGTCACCTAGAAGAAGAAGTTTATATGAAACCACCTTCTAGACTCAATCATCCTCTAAACAAGGTATGCTAATTGCAATGTGCATTATACGGTTTGAAGCAATCCCCTCAAGCTTAGTATGTAAAGTTCAATGCTACTGTGACTGAGTTTGATTTTACTCCCAATCCACGTGATACAGTTTTGGTCATTCATAAGACTGGTTGGGGTATGGTTCTTTTCCTTCTTTATGTTGATGACATGATTATTACTAAAGATGATATTGTAGGTGTTAATGAGCTAAAACAGTCTTTCAGTTAGAAATTTGAGATGAAAGATCTTAGTATTCAGAGCTATTTTCAAGGGCTTGAAGTCACCTCTTCAGATAGTGGCTACCTTTTTTCTCAAGTAAAGTATGCCTCTAAACTTGTTTCTAAAGCTGAACTCAATGATAGCAAAAGTGTTTATACACCTCTTGAACCAAATGTTAAACCTACACATATGGATGACTTTTCGCTTTTTGATCTTACTCGCTATCGATAATTGGTTGGTAATCTGATTTATCTTACTACTACACACCCTGACATAACATATGCAGTTCACATTGTTAGTCAGTTTATGGTTGCTTCTCACTCTACCCTTTATATAGCAATACTTCACATTATTTGCTATGTTAAAGGAACAATGTTTCATAGACTTCATTTTTCTACTAACGACTTCCTTGTGCTTTGTGCTTACTCTGATGTTGATTATGCTGGTAATTCTTCTAATTGTAGATCTATCACTGGTTACTATCTTTTCCTTAGTGATTCTCTCATCTCTTT